GCAAGCAGCCCCGAGACGCTTTCTACCTCCCCATGTAGCCTCGCTAACGGGTTCATACGCATAGAGTCCGTAATGCGTCCGTAGAAGGTAGATACGGCCTTAGCCCCGACGCTCCAGAGCCATTTTTTGGCCGACGCCCCTGGTAGATTGATGAAAGTTGTCATATCGTTGATTTGAGAAGCAGGCAAGCCCCGAGACGCTTTCCACCTCCCCATGTAGCCTCACGAACCGGTCCATACGCATAGAGTCCGTAATGCGTCCGTAGAAGGTAGATACGGCCTTAGCCCCGACGCTCCAGAGCCATTTTTTGGCCGACGCCCCTGGTAGATTGATGAAAGTTGTCATATCGCTGTTTTGAGAAGCAAGCAAGCCCCGAGACGCTTTCCACCTCCCCATGTAGCCTCGCTAACGGGTCCATACGCATAGAGTCCGTAATGCGTCCGTAGAAGTATGACGTTTGTGACCCAAATTGTATGCGCGTTGAACTGACCGAGGCGTTATGTTTGCCAGGATTTTAACCCGTACCGCTTGCCGTACGGAACGCGCTTTCATGTTGTGACGGTCGCGAACCCGAAGAGGACGTAGCTGATAAATGCAGCAAATTAAATGGCAACACATGAATGTTGAAGTGCATACTTCAAAGTAAACAACCCTTCAAACAAAGAGGACGTACTGTTTACACCAATAAAAACACGAAAACACCTAAACTATACTATCGGCACCGCTAAAGCACAGTAATATCACGAGCATCACCAATTTTTAAGACTGACCACCGCAATAGTACGTCCTGCACCAACCATAATTCAATCGCTAATTTTGCCCAATCCCCAGCCTGATCGTCACAGAAATATCATCCAACGAGCGCAGTTCCCCGGCGAGGGGGGGGGGTTAAGGCAAGATCATTTTCCAACCAGCCGCATCAAGCTCATTCTCCCAGCTCCTTCATTTTGAAATGACCATTCGACACCCCTGGCAGCTTCTCGCCTCAGCAATGCCATGCGTCCAGGCAGCGAACCTTCTGGATGGTTTCAAGCAGACTAAGGTGGCGAAGAGTGAGCTGGCCCCGTGCTCCGTATGCATGGCCCCTGCCCCTCATCCCATGAGAATTCAGCGCCTGTTTTGCGCGTGCAATTGCGCTGACGTAACGTCGGCACAAGAGTGCCCGGGTCATGTCCTGTCAAGAGCAAGGCTTAGTGACGGTCGAGGAGGCATATATTCATGCCACTCCAGCACGCAAGCTGGTGCTGACCCCACCAATGAAGGAGGTGGTGAAGGACTGGGCAGCCCAAGGACTGAAGCCCAAACGCATCTATAATGCACTTCTTCAGCGTTTCAACCTGACCGAGGCGACTGCGCCCTCTCTATCAACTGTGCAGCGTTTTGCGCATCACCATGTTACGGGACGGCTTGGGGGAAGTGACCTTCTGGACTCCGTACGCAGAAAAATCAAGGACTCAGGATTTACGGGGCACGAAGATGAAGCAGCTCCGTTCACATTCACAAGCCGCAGTGATACAGACGACAAGCCAATCACTGGCAATAACAGTGACGCTGATCCATTTGTGGTCGGTGTTAGCTCGAAGAAACTCCTACGCCGTGCCAACCGTGATCCAGAGTCTTTCATCTTTCACTTAGACGCGACCTACAAGCTCACGCAGGTCGGGTATCCAGTTGTCGTTGTCGGGATCTCGGACAGGGCAAGACGATTTCATTTGTTGGCAATACACATTGTCTCGCAACAGCAGCAACTACACTACACCGAGGTGCTTGCGCTCGTGTGTAAGATGTACCAAACCATAGTTGGTAAATTTCTCCGGGTACGCAATGTGATGGGAGATGCTGACGCAGCCCAATGAAACGCGGTGAACGACGTGTTTGGGCAAGGGGGGGAATTAGTATTTCTGATGTGCTACTTTCATGTGGCAAAGAAGGTATACGAGAAAACTCGCTCGTTCGGGTCTGTTGCGGCCTCCTCTGTCATGAAATACATTCATGAGCTCCATTTCTCGACGGATGAGGCGGCCTACAACTCGAAGCTAGGAGAAGCTCAAGCGAGATAATCAAAACCTCCGGAACTGGCGAAATTTTCTTCAAATATCTCTGGTCTGGCTGAACGAGAGGGTGTGGCGTTGGCAATGTTTCCATACACCGAGTGGTTTTGCGACAACGAACAATCCATGCGAGACGTACAGTGCAGCGATTAAGAGAGATGTCACGCTCCGCAGAAAGCTGAAGGTCGGCGCCCTACTGCCCCAGCTACTTACTCTTTGTCGAAGTGAAGCTGTCACCGCGAGGCCATTTGCCGTGTCCCCGGAGCCAAATTCTCGGATGGTTCGTCGAGCTCGGGCGATGTCTCGGGCGGGCTTGCTTGAGCTACACCACCAGTCTCCGAACAGTATCACATTTTTTTTGCTAGCTACCACGACTGAGGTCGAGCCTTTGGATACAGTCCGTGTTATTCGCAAGCCGTGCTCGCGTGTACAGGATGAGATTCGCCGACGCAATGTTGAGGACTTACCCGTTACAGCCCGGCTGAGCAAACTGACTGCTGCAATGGAAGCGCTTGGTATGCCTTCGAAGGGGTGGCTGATGAATTCGGGTAAGTGCCCTTGTTCCTTTTCGATGAAGCACGGCTATTGTGTGCACACACTCTACGCGATGGAATTATGTGGAACTATAGATCTCAATGGACGTCAGACACTTGTCAATCGAGGAATATCCGGTCGCAAAAAGGGACAGAGCTCCCGCGGGCGCCCACGCAAAAGTGGTGCGGCACTAGAGATGGAGTAGGATCTAGATTGAAGGAGATTTTAAATGTCTAGCGTCTTTGCTTCATAAATCTCGACGGTGCTCAAGTCAGTTTACGTATGCTTATATCATGTCATATTTGTATTCACTTAATTTCCTCCATTATTGAGTTCGTTAAGAAATTTTCTTTTGCGTTGCTATCAAATGACATGTCTCGCAGAAATTCCGGGGTGCTACCGGCCCACGATATTTAGTCATTGCGAGCTCCTGTGCTCTCTCAATAATCTTTAACGGTTTAGCTTAGTCAGGGATGTGGAATAACTTATTTTTTGTCACTACCGCGTCTTAAATACGTAAGACGTGAGCCCACCTCAGCTGTCACCTACTTCAATCTCTTAAAAATACAGCCAGACATTCCGTCAAATACAGGCACCCTTTGCTGAACGCTAAACGTATCATGCGTTATCGGGGCTACTAGCTAAATAAAAAATCAAGTGATAATAGTAACGCTAAATGCGAACTACGCAATGACTTCTTTTACTCTTTCTTCAATTTTGCTCTTTACAAAACCCGCTTCCACATACCTACAAAGTAATCCAGCAAACGCATCACATCAATGATAACAATACTTGTTTGGGCTGCTAGTTATATGAATACATCCATGAAGTGAACTAATTGGACACGTTACGAAATGTAAAGATGACTCTAACGTCTTACGTGAAGGTGTCTTTATATTTAGTTGACAAGAGACTTACATATATTATAACACATCTATATGCAGCGGAGACGAGGGTGTTTTGACGGGGCTGCCACGTCAAGAAATTAAGGCGTTGAAGTTGCATACTTTACCACTTCAACGAGTTCCCAACAATAAAAAACGAAAAGATCACACCTAAATTTAGATTATCTAGTACGTTCTTACTGTTGCTCCACCGAATCGCTCGTGTCAGCGTTTGTCCTCTTCGCTGCTCCCATTTTCTTCATTTTGTCCAGTGTGATGCTCTT